TGGTTTTCACAACTAATAAGCGGCAAAAAAACGGCAAATTTTCACCTACCTAATTTTTTACTGCTGACATATTTAGTGATGTTGTCTCGCTAACTTGACGTCAAGTTAGCGAAACACATTTTTTTTTTTTTTCAAACTTGATTTTTTTGTAAAAAAAAAAGCGGCAAATTTTTGGTTTTCACAACTAATTAGCGGCAAAAAAACGGCAAATTTCCATTCACTCAATTTTTCACTACCGACATTTTTAGTGATAATGTCTCGCTAACTTGATGTCAAGTTAGCGAGACAAATGATTTTTTTTTTCAAACTTGATTTTTTATGAGAAAAAAAAGAACCGGCAAATTTTTGGTTTTCACAACTAATTAGCGGCAAAAAAACGGCAAATTTTCTCCTACCTAATTTTTTACTGCTGATATATTTAGTGATGTTGTCTCGCTAATTTGACGTCAAGTTAGCGAAACACATTTTTTTTTTCAAACTTGATTTTTTTGTAAAAAAAAAAAGCGGCAAATTTTTGGTTTTCACAACTAATTAGCGGCAAAAAAACGGCAAATTTCCATTCATTCAATTTTTCACTACCGACATTTTTAGTGATAATGTCTCGCTAACTTGATGTCAAGTTAGCGAGACAAATGATTTTTTTTTCAAACTTGATTTTTTATGAAAAAAAAAGAACCGGCAAATTTTTGGTTTTCACAACTAATTAGCGGCAAAAAAACGGCAAATTTTCACCTACCTAATTTTTTACTGCCGACATATTTAGTGATGTTGTCTCGCTATCTTGACGTCAAGTTAGCAAAACACGTAATTAAGAAAAAACCAAAAGAGCGGCAAATTTTTTAATTCCACATTTAATTAGCGGCAAAAAAGCGGCAAATTCTTGGCATAATGGAAAATCGATTTTTCGAAGTTGTCTCGCTAAGTTGATAGACATCCCTTTTCAGGTCCAAAAACACACCCACCACATATTTATTATTATCCAGATCATTTTTTATTTTACATAAAGTTAATTGTAATGCAGATTCACAGGAGTGCTTCTGCCTGAACCCGGACTGATTGTTTACCAAAATAGCGCTATTTGTAATATGTTCGAGCAATTGATCATAAACAGCCCTTTCCAAAACTTTCTCTATTGGTGGCAGTGTATTGATCGGTCTGAACTCTTTAGCGTGAATGGTACCATTGACCTTTTGAATGGGGATAACAATACTAGATTTCAGTGCCTTGTGAATGCTTCCAACACTAAGAGATGCATTCACCAAATTTAAAATAATATGACCTATTGCTTGAAAAACCTCTTTTAGCATTTTAGAGTTAAGAATTTCATTAATAGAAAATTTGTTGTCTAGACCGGTAATAATCTTCTCAAGGTCTGACATAGACAATAAATGAAAATGATGCATAGGTTTATTTTAATGAAACTAGCTCGGAAACTAGCCCAAGAACCAAATACTACTGCACAAAACCAATAAGAAGAAAAAATAAAAAGTATTAAATTTCCTTTGAAACCCATAAAGGAAGACCCAAAGGACATCAATTCACTCCAATTGGACTAAAAAGGTCTAAGAAAAATAAAAGTGTTTTATTCAAAAATGAAGTTCCTAAACTGAGGCACCAGATAATGCTTAATGCAGTTTTAAATACAGATGATTTGGTAAGCAAAGCATTACATAAAAACTTTAAAAATGAGAAATAAAACATTCGTCATCATCAACAAATTGGTCCACTTCTTCTTGAAAAAGAAATATCTTTAGCAGAAATAGAAACATATTTTTGTCTGGATTCTTATGTTTTATTACATAAACGAATTGGAGAAAAACAAAATAGTATTTTAAAATGGATTTGTGATATATGTAACAAAGTGATACATGAAGATTGCTTACAAAAGCCTGGTTTTGCATGATTGCAGAAGGAACTAAATCACACCTCACGCCTCTTACCCAATCAACCCTTAAAATGAAGAAATATATATTCTTAATTATGTAATGTTTTAAAAAAATAAAAAGGTACTCAGTTTTGTTTTTTGTACTTTTCTGTTTGAAATTGCACCAACAAAATATTTTTGAGTAAACTTGATTAATTATTCTACATAAAAAGGATTAGAGGATCCATTTTTTCTAGTATAAATCCTTAAAAATACAAGGATTTTATCAATTTTATTGAAATGGTATAATATTCCTCAATTACGACAGAATTAGAAATAAACATCTATTTTCGGATCTTCAATAATACCACTGAAGATCCGCATTTTCGGACCCCTAATATACAAATTGAAAATCCAAGAATTATCGGAACTTTAGTATGAACACTAGAGATCCGAATTTTCGGACTTCTATCCACTGCCTTTAAAAAAATAAAATAAAATTAATTTCATCGGAAACGGTTGATTTGTACTTAATTGAAGAGCGTAGCATGAAGTTCGCTATCAATTATATACAGGGTGTTTCATAACTATACCAACAAACTTTCATAAGGAACATCAAAACATAGACAAACATATTTTTGCTCTGTAAACCTAACATGTTAAAGTTAAGAGTGACTTTCCGCTGTGTAGGGTGGTTGATATACATCCACCTTTGGAGTTAGTTTCTCATACGGAAGTAGACAAACGGTAAAAGCCGAAGATCCAACGACTATCTACCCTTCAACAGAAAATTGTTCGGAAATAATTGATCGAAAGAAAATTGTTTGAACGGAAAATTGTTCGAACGGAAAATTGTTCAAATAGAAAATTGGTCAAACGGAAAATTTTTTGAACGGAAAATGATTAGTACGGAAAATTATTCAAACAGAAAATTGTTCGAACGGAAAATAATTCGAACGCAAAATTGTTCGAAAATAATTGTTCTAAAATAATTGTTGAAAGAAAATTGTTCGAACAAAAAATTGTTTTTTTTTTTTTCCGAAAAGTCAATAATAGTTTAACTGTGAATCGTAAATGAATCTATGGCCGGAGTTACCCAATTCCTCAATTTTATCTATTTGTCCCTAATTCTTAATTCTTGGTGTTTTAAATTCAATATCAACATACAAGGACACTAGCACGCATTAGGCGGACGGGTTAGTTTGCGATAAAGCCAGCAATCGGAGTTTTAAAAATAATTGAAATTTCGAGCTGTTGTATTTAAAAAAGGTTTTTCACTTTTTTGGTGGTTTTACGTTTGTGATAAAATGAAAGATCTTTTCTTCCTGATTCCAAATATGTATATACAGGGTGTATATTTTAAGTGATACCACTATTGCTATATCCGAAATGGTAAGAGCTACAAGATCGGTTGAATTGGAAAAAAGTTGCCTTTTTTGATGACCATTCTAGACTCCTTTACAGTGTTGCCAAATTCCTTTTAGTTTATGAAATACAGGTTCATAACTATGGCCGAACTTGGGTAAAATTTTGGTAAAAATCACTAATGATCACTTTTTAGAGCAGCAACGTCGGCCAATCATACTTCGGAGATACATCGTTAAAGAGGGAATAGGGGGCGCTTTCTTAAAATCACATAAAAAATCCAGGTCTGTATTCAAAAAAATGAAGCTCGATCACGAAACGTCAGATTTGAATTTTGAAGATGCCATCTTGTAGAGAGAAAAAAATTATAGAACTTTCAAATTCGAATTGTGTCTCCGAAAATCAATAGTTTTTGAAATAATAGATAAAACATTTTTAGGCGTTTCTTAGAAATCACCCTGTATTTCATAAACTAAAAGGAATTTGGCAACACTGTAAACGAGTCTTGAATGGGCATTTAAAATGGCAACTTTTCTCTAATTCAACCGACCTTGTAGCTCTTACCGTTTCGGATATACCAATAGTGGTATCACTTGAAATTTACACCCTATATTGATCACATTTGGATGAGCCGTTTTTGATATATCTTGGTTTAAATTATAAATAAAATCCAATGAAATTTTATAAAGATTTAAATGTCTTGACATCCTTAGGAAATTTCTTTGCAAATTATTTATAATTTAAGCTGAAATATGTCAAAAACGGCTCACTCAAATGTGATCAATATATATATATATATATTTGGAATCAGGAAGAAAAGATCAAAGATCTTTAAATTTATCGCAAAATATACAGGGTGTTCCATTAAAAAAAGTCGAAGTTGTCAACGTTTCTCCATTTTCCGATGCGATTTTGGTTTTTCTGGTAATTTTAAAAGAAAATATAGGAAAAAACTGTTAAGTTTTGTATTTCAAATTTTTTTATATCTTAAATACTAAAGGCTGTAGGTATGGGTCCAAATATAATCAAATACTTACCCTGTACATACAGTTATTTTTCGAACAATTTTCCATTCGAACATTTTTCCATTTGAACAATTTTCCTTTCGAACAATTTTCCGTTCGAACAATTTTCCGTTCGAACAATTTTCCGTTCGAACAATTTTCCATTCAAACAACTTTCCTTTCGAACAATTTTCCCTTCGAACAATTTTCTGTTCAAACAATTTTCCTTTTGAACAATTTTCTGTTCAAATAATTTTCCTTTCGAAAAATTTTCTTTTCGAATAATTTTCGGTTCGAACAATTTTCTTTTCGAATAATTTTCCGGGACTCCTATCTACCTATTTAAAAAAGCGAACAATATGGAACTGAAATAAATTTATTAGCCAGATACATTGATTATTTCAACAGTATTGACTGGAATCTGTGTTTAAGTAATAACAAAGCCAATCTATGCAAAAATTTGCATATCATTATTTAGGTTCATTTTCTGCAGTGTAACATTTAGATATTTGTTCTGTAGAGTGCACTTGAACATAAATAAATAAATAAATGAAAACATAGGAAAAGTCGAAAAATCAAAATTAATCAATAATATCACAATCAAATCAATTTTACTTGCAATTTTAGGTGGTAGGAACTATAAGATTCACCTGGTCTAAGTCACATAAAATGTTGCTTAAATTTTCATTTTAAAATATCATTTTAAAAAAAGAAGAGAAATGACCAATTTGAAATGGTTTTTATTTTAAATTTCAGGCTAATTTATAATGGCACTGGTTCCCTATGATTGTGGCAGTGGAAGTGATGGAGAAATAACTGACGACGAGGAAGTTTCTTCAAAATCTGAAGTAGTCTTGAATGGAAAACCAGCTTCTCCAGTAAGCAAATTAATTTTCACATATTTTTCTGTGTTTATTGGACATTTTCTTACTGCCAAAAACGTGCAACATTGTATCAAAACTAAGATTCTATTTGATTTTCCTTGAAGTAGTTTTTATTTTGCTTTAATTTTGAAAATGTACTTATTTCTATGTAATATATTTTAACTATAGGACAATCTTGGGCTAAAGATGTTCTCCTGGGCCCGTATTCTCGTAACCGGGGTTCTCAAGAGAACGATTGTTTTGTCTTAGTCGCCCATATTGTTATTTCCATAATACTGATAGAGAGAGAAATCGTTCTCCCGAAAACGCTGTTCCCCCGGTTCAAGAATACGGGTTCTGGATTGATGGTTGCTTTTTTTTTTTTTTTTTTTTTTTTTTTACGGATATGCGCACTCGCAAGGAAATGTCCTATCACGCTCGAGAAGCGGCAAGTGCGCGGAAATGTCGGTGTATGTTGGTCTTGAAACGGTTCAGGTCGTAACCTGAAGGGAAAACCGTCGCAGGGAGTTTATTCCACAGCGATGTTGTTCTCCAGAGATATGAATTCTGATATAATGAGGTTCTTGGTGCCTCTAGTTTGACAGTAAATTCATGGTTACCGTCTGTTTGACGGGTTCGCCTGGTAGGTGCTATTCTCGGTGGAATCATACGTGCCAACTCTTCAGAGCATTTTCCGTGATAGTACCTGTAGAAGAGAGATAAATCGCCCACAGATCTGCGATGTTCGAGACCATCCAAGTTACGAGTAAGTGCGGGGTCATTGATCAGCTTGATAGCTCGTTTTTGCACGGTATTCAAAAGCATTAAGGTATGTTTGGGTGCTGCACTCCATATATGTGAGCAGTACTCCATAGTTGGTCGAATCTGGGCTTTGTAGAGTGTCAGCAATTGGCTTGGTGTGTACAGATGTCTTGTACGAAATAGCACCCCCAGCTTTTGGGAGGCCCTTTTAGCAATATCTGCCACGTGACTGTGCCAAGACATGTTGGTCTCTGCAGTAACCCCCAAGATTTTCAACTGACTCTGTAATGTGACAGCACTTCCAGATAGCATGATGTTTGGCTCACCGGTGCTGGTCTTTTTTGAAAACAGAGCTGCTTGGGTTTTCTGCGCGTTGAACTGTACAAGGTTTTTGTTACCCCAGTCCTCTATTATCTCCAGGTCGTTATTTATCTGCGATATTTGAGTTAGTCTAAGATGATGGAATTCACGTGCGGAAAGACCTGTGGGTAGTATGAGTGAGGAGACTACAGCGCCATCGTCTGCAAAGCAATAAAGTGGATTTACTGTTTTATCTATGAGGTCATTTATGTAAATCAGAAAAAGAGTTGGCGAAAGGATTGCTCCCTGTGGCACACCAGCATTTATTTGGTAAGAGTTGGAGTTCTGGCCATCCAGTGCAACATAAATGGATCTGTCCTTTAGGTAACTTTCAAACCAAGTGCAAAGTTTCGGCGATAATCCCATTGCTTTGAGCTTGTTGAGCAGATTTTCATGCCAAACTTTGTCGAATGCTTTAGATATATCTAAGGCAATTGTTCTTGTTTCACCCCGCAACTCAATCGCTTTTTGCCATAAGTGAGTGACGAATGTAAGTAAATCTCCAGTTGACCTATATTTTCGAAATCCGTATTGCTTATCGTTGATAATTTTGTACTTTTCCAAGTACTTGGTTAGGTGATTGTTCACAACTCTTTCCATTACTTTTGATATCACCGGAAGTAGAGCAATTGGTCTATAGTTTAACGGATCTGTCTTTTTTCCTTTCTTTGGAATGGGTTGTACTGCGGCAGACTTCCATGATGATGGATATACTCCTTGCCTGTAAGACAAATTGAATAATTTTGCGAAAGTTGGGGTGAGTTCGTTGGCGCAATTTTTGAGTACTATTGCGGGAATGCCATCCGGACCCATTGCTTTGTTTGTATCCAGCTTTTTTAGGGATTTTCGTATTTCTCTGTGACAAAAGGGTACCTCTGGCATACTATGGGAAACCCTTTCAATGAACGGTGGAGTTTTTCCGTTTGGCACTGTTAGGTTGGAGTTGGAGGAAAACATTTGGGCAAGCATATTGGCTTTTTCCTCTGATGTTGTGGCTAAGTGATTATTTTTATCTGTAAGTGGTGGTATGGATGACTTGGTGAAGTTAGATCCAACAGCTTTTGCAAGAGACCAAAAAGACCTAGAACTACTTGGACAATTCAGCAACCTGTTTTTTATTCTTTGATTGTATGTTTCTTTAGCGGAGTCAATAGTAATTTTGCAACTATTTCTGGCTTCTATAAATTCTGTGTGGTTTTGAGCGGTTTGTTGTCGTTTCCAAAGGTTATATGCTCTGTGTTTTTTCTGTACAGCCGTTTGACACTGGCTGTTGAACCAAGGTTTTGCATTAGCTCTACGTTTAGTTGTATGTGGGATATATGCGTCCATTCCAGATAAGATTACTTGTGTTATTTCATTACAGCAAATAGTGGGATCAGCTGTTTTAAAGCAAACCTCTTGCCATGGAAAATCCAGGTAATACTGTTTTAGGTCATTCCATTTTGCCGATTTATAGTGCCACATTTTACGAGGAAGTGGTTGTAGGCTTGGTGGGATGAGTATTTCGCACTTTGTTATTATAAGTTTATGATCGGACGAACCAAGTGGAGCATTTACTTGAATTGTGTACGAGTCAGGATTGGTGGTTAGGAACAAGTCTAAAAGCGCTGCAAATTCGCCCCTTTCTGAGATACGGGTAGGTTCATCGACAAGCTGCGTTAGACCACAACTTATGGCAAAAGCTTCTGCTTCTCTGCCTTCGTTATCTGTTTTGTTGTGGTGTTTCAGCCAGGGTATATTGTGGACGTTGAAATCGCCTAAAAAGACAATTTCCGCCTGTGGATAGTTTGACTGTATGCTATCACAGCTTTCGGATAATGTCGCGAAAAAGTTTTGGTAATCGGTGTTACTTGGCGGTCGGTAGAGGCAGCAGATAAACTTGGTCGATGACTTTGAGGTGAATTTTAGCCATATGATATCAAGGTTCGCTGGTTCTAGCTTCTCCTCTCGATGACATGAAAGGTCATTTTTAATGTACACACAGATCCCAAAATTATGTCGAAATCGGTGGTGTAGGTCATAGCCGGGATAAAGATAGTTCACAATAGGTGTTGCAGAACTGATTTTAGTTTCAGTGAGAACAAGGATGTCAGGTCTTTGTTCTTCAAGATGTTGGTGAACTGAATTCATATTTGTACTTATTCCTCTTATATTGCTAAAATCAATTCTGAGTTGAGTTTTTGATCTTCTCTTTATATCTTTGCATGAAGGACCCCCAGGATCACCCGACGCCCGGAGATCCGAGTGGTCGGGTATTTTACCTCCGGAATATTTTGATCCTGGAGGCGCCATCATGCTATCTGTTACTCATTGTTGGAACCGGACTACCAGCGCAGTAGCGGAACGTGGTGATACCACTTAGCGCTACTCAATTCTGGCATGGTGGTATCTCACCGGTCGACGTCCAATGAGTAAAAAGCGTCTACCACCTTCAACTTTTTTTACTATTAAATGTGATTGCAGCAGGACTGCCAATTTTAATAAAAAGTCCAAGACGTACTTATTAGTTGTATATTTGCATATTATGTCTCAGAAAAAGCCCAGTTCATTGACCAATGATTGAAAAACATAAAAGTGTTATTGATTAGTCCAAAAACATTGTTACGTTTCTATCTTTCTTAATAAAAATTCCACTTCTGTCCTATGTTTAAGCTCCTTCCCCATATTATCACTGAAAGTGAAGTTTTGATGGTTTTGCATTTAAAAACATTTTGTCACTCTTCAATTCCTTCTTTGTAGAATCCAGCCTTAGCACCCATTGACAGTTCCACACCGTCAACCAGTGGCCTTTTCTCGCAATTACCTCAAGCAAAACCCGCCAGATCAAATATAGCCGAAGAAAATGACCAATTGGAAGATTTCATTCCCACAGTGAAAACCCTAAAAGAAAAAAGGAAAGTACAAATTACAATTCCGTCTTTGTCAGACTTCGATGATTTCAATAACAGTGATGAACCTTCAACAAAACGTGCGAAGCCCTCGCAGAAAGGCAGCGGTTTATTGAGTTTATTACCGCCAGTACAATCTGTGCCCAAGTCTAATGTCACTTTCGTACCTGATGCTGTGAAGAAGAAGAGCGCTCCTATGGTACCTCGAATGGTGGCCAAAAAGAAAGGTATGTATATTTTTCAACAGGAATTTAACAGAGTATATGTCTCAAATTGGTTTTGAAAATTATAGGGGATCAAGAGTAAAGTTGAAAATATCAAAAATTCAATGAAAGTAAGGTGTTTATCCCTTTTGTCAAGATTCTGGATGTGGCACCACTATCATCTTTTAGCAGGAATTTGAAAAAGCCTTCTAGAATAATAAACCCTTGATTTGGTTTCACAATAACTACGGCATGAAGAGTTTAAAATATCGGAAAACTTGACAAAAGTAGAGCTTTTATACCTTTTCTCCAAATTTTGGATAGGGTATCACTACCACCTTACAACGAGACTTAGGGTTTCTAGAATACCGCCACAAATTAGTTTTGATATTGGTACGGGGATCAAGGGTTACAATAATTGTTATGAACAGATTACCTATGTTAGAAGTTGTTCGAACACCATTTTATGTTAATACATTGGTTTTATAGTTTTTGCATTTTTTTCCAGCAATAATTTCCGAGTCTGCCAAAAAGGCTCTGTCAGCGAAAACTACCAAAATTAGTACAGCAAGCGACAGTGATACAGACAATGAAGACATCCCATTACCTGATAGTTTTGACGATAAAATGTGGGAAAAAGTTTGTGGTCGTCCGAAACCCAAAAAACCTATCATTGAAGTTGTCCAGAAATCACATCAACCCGAACCTGGTAAGAATTATCAAAAAAAAATTGTCCAAAATTCTCAACTTACCTTTAAAATTCTTCAAGAAGAATTAACGATTGCACCTGATCCTGAAAAACCTTACGATGGTCTAGACAACGAAGCCTTCAAAGAACTAATAGGAAAATCCAGGCGGCCAATAGGTAACATCAAACTAATCGACATTAATGAAGACGACTCAATGCCAGACAGAGATTTAATGATGACCAAGTCCTTGACTGATCCGGATCTCGCTCCCAAACCGCCAGAGGATGATGGTACCATAGATTCTACTAAAAAACGAAAACATCATATTACGTTTTTGGCCCAGCAAGCCAAGGCTAAAGAGCAGGAATTGAAGGCTGCGTGGGCCACTAGCAGGAGTAATAGGATGATGAGTCGAGCTAAGTATGGATTTTAATTGGTTATTTTATGTGGAAATTTAAAAGAAATAATTAATGTTTGTAAAATTATATTTATTTGGTCTGTATTATTTATTTATATGAATAAAATAGAATCTAAACTAATACACAACATATTTGCTTTTCTGGACATCCTTTTTTCCCTAGGTTTAAATTGTTTGGGCATTTTTTCGGGTCGAAACATGCATTGTGTTGTTGGTAGCAGTTGAGGTCTTCTGATTTTACTAAAAAAACTAATGTTAGCAAAAAGGTCTCTTGGACTGGAAGCGTTTCCATAATTGCTTAAAATTTCTCAATTTTTCGCGTTAAATATTCTATAACTAAAAATACTTACTTCCTTTGCAACAAACAGCCCCTAATGATTTCTGGAGAGGACAAAGCGACTCGAATTCCTCCGAAACTGGTTGAGGACATTCATTTTTTAAAACACACGCTCCACCTTTTTTACCACAGCATTCTTCATAATAAAAATTTGATTCTGAAACAAAAAGATTCTATACCTATTATTTATTTGTCTTTGACTCAAAATATTTACCTATTGATCTAGCTGCCTGGCACCAAATCAGTGCCACAGTGATCACAATGAAACAATTCATATTCATGTTGGCTGTTTTCTGGGAAACGACTAAAAGTAAACCATCACATTTCGCGAATTTGTTTTGCAATAATCTGTTATCGCCTTTTAAATATTTATAACTTTTCAAATGATAAAAATATAACATATATGAGGGAGCAATCTTAAATAGATGCATGTTTATATTTGCTATTATTTTAATGTGTTTCCAGGAGTTCCCATTGAATATTATTTAAAAAAAAAAATAAGTAGGTAATTTTCACTTGCCTTATCTCAATGAGTTCTTACTTGTGCCATTTAGATTAAATAGGCCTTTAGCAGTACCTACCTACAAAAAATATTGAAAACTACCTTAATTTATCGAAATAGAACATCTTAAATGTATAAATAACTCATTGCCTGTCGCCAAACAAAATTTGTAAGGACATAATAGGTAGATGAAGTAAGGCTCCGACGGACTGTAATTTAAATGAAGTACTAGCAAGTACCTTGGAGCCAGTTCCAACTTTTAAATTCATTCATGACCCGGTATAAGAAAGTATAAGCAGAAACAATTTTGAGTTTTTGTTGAAAAATAAATGTGTTTGTAATTATGTCAATAGATACTCTATTAAACACATACGTTTGGATACAGACACAGTCTCCAACACAGCAATAAATAAATAAAAATATATAATTCCTTCTGGACTCTGGACAAGTAGAATGTTTCTTTAGGCCCTGGGGATCATTATGATTTGTTTTATATTTTGATAACTCTTGTTACAACTGAAGTATTGTGTTTCAATTGTTGTCCTGCTGCTACTATGTGCGTGCCACATTGCAAGAAGGCAGGGGGGTTGCACGGGATATCTACAAATTTTGCCCTTGTTGAGTCTATCAGATATGCCTTACCCTTTTGGGGCGCTTACTCACAAATTCTATTTCAATCTATTTTTGCTTTTCAAAAAAAGACCGTCAGCAATTTCTGCAATGCAATAATAGTTATTTATGATATAAGTGCTAAAAGTGACATTTTATTTTGTGAAAAGGGAAGTTTGGGACACGACGCCGAAGGCGGAGTCAGAGCTGGGCAAGCTACTTGGAAAAAGTAGCTAGCTACAAGCTACAAGCTACTTTATATTGTAAGTAGCTAAGTTACTCAGTAGTTCAACTACCTCTTTGAAAAAGTAGCTAAGCTATTAGTAACTTAACTACATTTTGAATTAGTGAAAGCTACTATTTAAGCTACTTTTATCAATGTACATGCCTTACCTAATTTAATTTCATAATATCGTCATACGAAAATAACATATTAACTTTCTCTAAGTAGTAGTATTCATATTTTTGTCAAAAACCACTGGACAATAATTTATTAGGTTCACTTTGATCACAGTGATCTGCGAATGCGAGAATAAAATAGGACACATAAAACATAGGTACCTACAGAGATAACTAGAAACTAATCTAAGCAAGGTAGGATAAGTTTTTTTCCGGAAAATGATAATTGTAGCTTGAGCAATTAAAGTACCGTAAAATGGGGTTATTTGGGACGTCGGGGTTACTCGGGACGCAACTTCGGATGTTCTAATTTTACTAGCGTCAACAACGCAAATATAAACATATCTTCAGTTTAATGTTTTGGTTAGTTGAAGAGCAACCTGTTGATGATTAAATTAATGAATTCTTTATAAATTAATGATATTTCAAAAGTATAAAAAAAAACATAAGTGGTGGTGAGAAGCAAAGCAAAAATAAATGGTCGAAAACTTTATCTGGAAGAGGGAGTCAAAAGGTAAACAGGTAAGTCCAATTACACTTTTTAGTTAATTTTGTATGTTTTCTAAATACTGCCAATTTCGTTGCCCGCTTTTAGACAATTTTTTTTAGATTTTGAAATATTTTTTCAAAAAAATTCCTGATTTTGGGTAACTTGGGACAACCATTGTCCCAAGTTAGGCCGTGTCCCAAGTTACCCCATGTTATTTAATCCGTTTTGTTTTCAGGGGTCAACATGCCAAGAAAATATATTCGCAAAGTAGGTTCTAATAAATATCACGCCTTCGAAGGAAACAATATGACAAGTGCCATAGAAGACGTACAATCTGGAAAGTCCTATAAAATAGCAGCCGACAAATGGAAGGTAAACAAATCAACTTTACAGAGAAGATGTAAAAATCATAATTTAGGAAGATATGGAAGACCTACAGTTCTGGAAAAAGCGGAAGAAGATGAACTTATTAGAGCAGCTGAATGGGGATTTCCTTTAACTCACTTTGAAATAAGACGCATTGTGAAGCAATCAGGCCTATGATGTATCCTCTCCTGTTATTTTAACAGTTGTGTTATAGGTCAAAATCTATACCTGTCTCTATTTTTACGTGTAGAATAAACAGTGACAGATAACTTAAGGTTGCTGTTAAAATAACAGAAAATGATACATCATAGGACTGAATATCTAGATATTAAGGGTGTTATAGAAAGACGATTTAAAGATAATTTCCCTGGTCCTGATTGACACCCACCATTATTTTTAATTTAAGTATTTTTGCATATATTTTGCATATTTTTATAATGAATAAATAAATATTTTTAATAAATTGATGTTAACCCAGATTTTTCATCGCTCTAAATAATTCGCTGAACAAAAAATTTCAACTCAAGATGTGTGCTGGGGTATTATTTTTATTTTTCTGCTGTCCCAAGTAACCCCTGAGTAGTTTAACATGCATTTTCGGTGTAAAACCGGTACAGTCCCATCTAACCCCAATGCGGGGTAACTTGGGACAGTGAATATTTTATTTTTTTCTACAAAATGTTCTTACAGTAGGAGCCATTTATGGTGCTTTATAGGTTAAATGCATATGAAAGAAATTTTATACACAGGAATTGTTGCTCTGCCTTCCTAAAAACTCTGATAAATTACCACATTATTGAAAAAATGGAAGTGAATTTGTCCCAAGTAACCCCATTTTACGGTATAAAGTTACTTTTATCGAGCGGTAAATTCAAACGCGGGCGATAGGTTGGTGGAAACGTGCCTTTATAAGGGGAAAACTGTTTATTTTTGAAAACAATGTCGAATGGATGCCATTATATTATAGGTATAGTTATTTTATTTTTGAACTAGAAGAGTCCGCTGCGCATAAAACGTAATAAGTGTTTTGGGCGTTGAGTATCGTTAACCACACCCTCGGGCGGTAAACGACACTTTCTGCCATTAATACCTAAATAACTATTAACTATCTACCAAAAATAGCTTAAGTAGCTTGTTTTAGTAGCTAGCTACTTTTTACAGTAGCTTATGAATACTTGAAACACATTACCACAAGCTACAGCTACAAGCTACTTTTTTTTCAAGGTAGCTTGAATAAGTTATTAGCTACCAAAAAAGTAGCTAAGCTAGTAGCTTAACTACTTGGTAGCTAGCTACTGCCCAGCTCTGGGCGGAGTGTTCTATCCCTTTGAACAAAATAAAATCACTTTTAATACCAGAGGCGATTTCGCCTCAGTTTGGTACCCCAGTTTGGTCTGTCAAACAGGTACCATTCAATTTCGGATGGGTGAATGATGCTGTCATAACAACTTTGGTAGGGCCTTTGGTCTGTCAGATGCTAGATGCTATACCGCGGTTTGACTGGGTAGTGGAGGTTTGGTAGCCTTCTGTTTCTTTTTCTCTCGTGTCCAAATAAACATAAAGTCAAAATGTACCAAACGCCCTATCCACTGAATTCGGATGAGATTGTTGAGCTACGTCACTTACGTACCAATTGGTTAACCATTCGCCTACCAAACAGCAGATGAAAATCTGGGGCGAAATCGCCTCAGGTGTCATAAAATGGCATTTTAGACACTGACAGCATCCGTTAAAAATGATACTTTTGTGACGTTTGTAGAAAAAAGTTATATGGTGTCCTTTTCTGAAAAGCACTGATTTTTGACTACCTTCTCAAGGTTATTTTATTCCAAAGTGCAAAAAGCGTCGTTTTCCAGAGATTAGACTGTCTCAAGTTAAATGGACCACTGTATATTTTCCAACATTCCACCTATCTCCTTGTCTCATTATGGGTCAATTCAGGGCTCCGTCAAGTTAGATCCCCCACATTCGAGTTTTCTAACAAAATTGCAACCACTTACTCTGTGCTCGATGTGTGCTTTGGACTATTCACACACATCAGTTCCGTATCAGTGCTGCGTCAGTTCAGTATCAGTGCTATCCGTGCTTCATCAGTGGTGACAATTCACACACAACCGTCTGTAGTCCGTACCATGCTTTCAGTGAAATGTCAGAATTCAGGGATCAAACTCAAATTCCAATCGATTTCCGTCAGTAAAATACACAAAATATCGTTGCCGACTTTAATAAAAAACACGGAACTGACATTGACGCAGCACTAATGGTAAAAAACCTCACTGCGCCGGACTTGTCTAAACAGGTTTATTTAAGAC